CCTGGCGGAACACAAGGGTGCTGAGCAAGTCAGCAGGTTAATGTTGAGCAAATTTCACTTGTAATGCTGCTGACACAACCACCCATCAGCTTGTTGATGATCAGTATTGGATTGATGAGCCAGCAATCGTTTGGTTTGAATAGGTCTTAATTTTTGTGCACAGGACATATCTGGGCAATTTTTTATTGTCAGGGAGATGCCAGTATTGTAGCTATACTTGAACAGATTTGGTAAATGGACATCTGGTTCTGGATCCTGTATCTTCAGGGTTATGCTGCAAGGACCCATAGCCTTTTCAGGACCCAGCACCTTCAGCCATTTCTTGATATCACATGGAGTGAATCAAATTGGCTGAAGACTGCCATGTGATGCTAGGAGCTAGGCAAAGATGGGTTATCCACTCAGCACTTCTGAACCTTGTTGCAAATGATTCAGCTTTGTCTTTTGCACTGATATACCTCGCTCCTCCATTAACAATGGGGATATTTGTGAAGCATCCTCCTCTTGATAGTCAGTTGTTTAATTACCAATTACCATGCACGACTAGATGCAGCAGTATTGGAAAGTTCAGGTCTAACTGTTGGCTGTTGGATTCCTTAGCTCTGTCTAGCACATGTTGATCATTTTGTTTGGCATGTAGGTAGTCCTGTATTGCAGTTGTGCCAGGCTTACACTTCATTTTTAGGCACATCTGGTGCTGTTCTTGGCATAGTCTCTGCATTCTTCATTGAACCAGAGTTGATCCCTTACTTTGATGTAATGGTAGAATGGGGATGTGTATGGGAATGAGATAACAGATTGCTGACAGCCCAGAACATCTCTCTGATGCCGTGTTTGAGTTGCTGGATATTGACTATTTAGCATAGAGTCAGTACCATGCATTACAGCTATTACTGCAAACACAGGACTTGATTTCATAGAAACATAGAAGATAGGAGCAGGAGGCGGCCATTTGGCCCTTCGAGCCTGCTCCGCCATCCTTCACAATCATGGCTGAGAAGGGTCCTGACCTGAAACATCAACTTTCCTGTTCCTCCGATGCTGCCTGGCCTGCTGTGTTCCTGCAGCTCCACACTGTGTTATCTCAATAGCCTAATCCTGCTTTCGCCCCATAAACTTTGATCCCATTCACCCCAAGTGCTATATCTAGCTGCCTCTTGAATACATTCAATGTTTTGGCATCAACTACATCCTGTGGTAATGAATTCTACAGGCTCACCACTCTTTGGGTGAAGAAATGTCTCCTCATCTCCGTCCTAAATGGTCTACCCTGAATCCTCAGACTGTGACCCCTGGTTCTGGACACACCCACCATCTGGAATATCCTCCCTACATCTACCCTGGCTAGTCCTGTTAGAATTTTATAAGTCTCTATGAGATCACCCCTCATTTGTCCGAACTCCACCAAAAACAATCCTAACCTAGTCAGTCAATCGCTCCTCACATGTCAGTCCTGCCATCCCTGGAATGAGCCTGGTAAACCTTCGCTGCACTCTCTTGAGAGCAAGAGCATCGTTCCTCAGACAAGGAGACCAAAACTGCACACAATATTCTAAGTGTGGCCTCACCATATAACAGCAACACCACATGCCCGCTCCTGTACTCGAAATCTCTTGCAATGAAGGCCAACGTACCATTTGCCTTCTTTATTGCCTGTTGCACCTGCATACTAACCTTCAGTAGCTGGTGCACAAGGACACCCTCTCCCAATTTACAGCCATTCAGGTGGTAATCTGCCTTCTTGTTTTTGCTTCCGAAGTGAATAACCTCATATTTATCCAAATGATATCGCATCTGCCATTGATTTGCCCACTCACCCAGCCTGTTGAAATCATGGTGAAGGATCTCTGCATCCTCATCACAGTTCACCCTACCACCCAACTTGGTATCATCTGCAAAATGTTACATTTTGCTCCCTCATCCAAATCATTGATATATACTGTGAATAGCTGGGGTCCCAGCACTGACCCCTGTGGCACCCCACTAGTTATTGCCTGCCAATATGAAAAGGACCCAATAATTCCTACTCTTTATTTCCTCTCTGAAAACCAGTTTTCTATCCATCTCAATATACTTGCCCCAATCCCATACGCTTTAATCTTGCACAATAATCTCTAATGTGGGACTTTGTCAAAAGCTTTTTGAAAGTCCTAATATACCACACCGACTGGCTACCCCTTGTCAACTCTACTTACATCTCCATAGAGTCCCAACAGATTTATCAAGCATGATTTCCCCTTCATAAATCCATGCTGACTCTGAGTAATCCTGCCACTGCTTTATAAATGCTCCGCTATAAAGTCCTTGAAAATGGATTTCAGAATTTTCCCCATTACTGATGTTAGGCTTACTGGTCTATAAATCTCTATTTTCTCTCTACCTCCCTTTTTGAATGTTGGAATGACATTATCTACCCCCCAACCTGCAGGGATATTCCAGAGTCTATAGAATCCTGAAAGATGACCACCAATGCATCCACTATTTCTAGATCCACTTCCTTAAATACTCTGGGATGTAGATTAACAGGTCTTGGGGATTTATCCGCCTTCAGTCACGTTAATTTTCCCAGCACCATTTCTCTACTAATATTGATCTCCCTCAATTCTTCCTTCTCACTAAATCTTGCATTCTCCAACATTTCTGGTATCTGATTTGTGTCCTCTTTTGTGAGTACAGAACCAAAGTATGTATTTAGTTGCTCAGCCATTTCTTTGTCCGCCATTATACTTTCCCCCATTTCTGTCTGTAGGGAACCTACATTTGTCTTCACCAATCCACTTCTCTTCACGTACCTATAGAAACTCTTAGTGTCAGTCTTTATGTACCCTGCAAGTTTACTTTCATAATCAATCCCTTGGTTCTTCTTTGCTGAGTTCTAAACTGCTCCCAATTCTCAGACATATTATTTTTCTTAGCCAATTTGTATGCTTCTTCCTTGGATTGGATACCATCTCTAATTTCCTTTGTAAGCCATGGATTGGCCCTTTTTCCCATTTTGCTTTTGTGCCAGACAGGAATAAACAATTGTTGCAGTTCCTCCATGTATTTCTTGCATGTTTGCCATTGCATATCCACCATCATCCCTTTAAATAACTCTCCCCAAAAGGCCAACTCATGCCTCATATCTTTATAGTTTCCTCTATTAAGATTCAGCACCTAGTCTCCGAATCAACTACCTTACTCTCCATCTTGATAAAAAAATTCTATTATATTATGGTCGCTCATCCCCATCTCGTACAGCTAGATTGGCAATGATTCCCTTCTCATTACACAAGGTCTGTGTAATGGGTACATCTACCAACAGTGTCATGGACAGATGGAACTGCTGCAGATATGTTGGTGGGGATAAGTTTAAGTAGGTCTCATTGGCCACCTCAGCACCTGCAGCAGACCCAGTCAAGTAGTTCTTTAGGATATGTCCATTTCAGTCAGCGGTAGCTCTGGTAATGGACACAAATCCATCATCCAGGGTACATTCTTGCCACCTTCAGTGCTTGTTCCAAGTGGTGTCCAACATGGTGGAGTACTGATTCATCAGCTGAGGGAAGGGGTACAGTAGGTGCAATCAGTAGGAGATTTCCTTGTCCATGTTGAACCTGATGCCATGAGGCTTACTGGGAGCCAGCATCAATGGTGATGACATCAATTCCCACCTGATTGTCACTAGCAGTGCCATCACAGTTGTGTACATTGTCTTGTTGGTGGAACAGGATATACCAGGGATAGTGATGGTAGTGTGTCAGACATTGCCTTTAAAAGGTGAGATTTGGCAAGTATTACTATGGCAGGCTGTTACTTGACAAGTTTGTGGACAGCTGTCTCAAATTTGGCACAAGCCTCCAGTCGATAATAAAGAAGATTTTGCAGGGTAGATGGAGCTGTGTGTACTGTTATTTCCAGTGCTTAGGTTGATGTCAGGTGGTTACATTTGGTTTTGATAAATATTATTGGATCCTAATCAAATTAAACCCTAAAATGGTTTTATTTAAAAACTGTTAAGTATCTAATCTTGGAAATGCAATGAGTGATGAAGTAAAGGAACCAATGTTAACTAATCCAGTTTTTAAAAGAACTGAAGATAATATAGGAAATCAGCCACCAAGTTTAAAAACTAATGTTAAAAGAAAATATACTGAAGATCAAGTATTTTAATGTTGTTGCCCTAAAATATGATACTCAGGACGAGGCTTGAAATAAAAAATACTCAAAATAACTTGAGCATAGAATTTTCAACTGGAAACCAATTACATTTTCAGAGCTGTTTGAAATCCTAACCACTACTCATTGACTCTTGCTGGAATTGCTTCAATAAAAGTTGAGGAAGGAGAGCATCCAACATGCCAACCATGATGACATAATTAAATGGTTGCTCAACCCATACTGTCTCAATTCACACATGATCACTTACGCAAAAGAGCTATTAACAGGTGTACAAATGTATGATAGCAAAATAAAATCACTACATTCTAGTGAGGCTCAGCATAGGGTAAGGAAGGTACATTACACAAAACTCCTGAATCATAATAAGGTCAATTGGCATGCTGAATGAGAATTCAAATTTTCAACATTTTCTTAAAGAAACTGTTTGTTATGACACGAATTAAATTGCTACCGAGGTAAACAGCATGGGAGAAAAGTGTCACCACAATCTACAGTGATTGGGTTCAAATCTGTCCCATTGGAATCAACCTATTGCTCCCTGAAGAAACAAGTTACAGGTATGAATTGTGTGTTGTTTAAAATTGCAGGACTAAAGAGAAATGTATTGCTAGATTTTGCCAATTCTTATTCCTTATATACGAACCAGTAAAATCTAAGGTTATATTCTCATCTAGTCTTCTATATTTAACTTAGTCAAAATTCATGAAATATACATTGCAATTTTTAAGTAAGTTTTCTATCATCACCAAAAATCCTACCAATCAAATTTTTAACATGCAGCAATATGAAGTTAAACGTTGTTCATTGCATCCAATAAGTCACACATAAAGCATCTTCACCTTCATCAGGTGGTAATGTCACTGTATAATCTGGAGCTGCAGAGATCTCTTTATAATCCGTTGCTGCGGAGATCTCTTTATTTTCGCTGGATTTGTCATCTGTACCTTTTTTAAGAGGTTCTTCCAGGTTTTTCACCTCACATACAAAAACATCAATTGGCCCTTCAGTACTTTTTATGTGAACCTGGATAGTTTCCTACACAAATAGAAAAGCCCTTTTTAGAATTCTGAAAGGAAATAAAATGCAAATGTCACAGAGAAACAGAGATTGTGGCATGAAGAATTTCTGCCTTGAGAATGTTCAGGAATCTGGAGCTAAATTGTACTTGAATTTGTGCTGGTTTTCCTAAGTTACTGCTCAAGTATCCAGTCAAATTAATTTACACAGTCACAAATATGAAACATTCCTTAAATCATTGATGGAATCTAATTTTATCTACTTGTATTAAAAAAATCTTGGTCTATGAGTGGTAACCTGTTGTAGTTTTATTAATACAACTAGAAATTGGCTTAGCAAACAAAACAAAACTTTAATAAGAGTTTAGTCTACCAGCTGAGACCAACCTGATTTTAAATTAGTGAAAATGATTTCAAAAATTATACTGAACACCGTTTAATAGTACGCTATTCACGTTTCAATAAAGCAAGTTAAATCTCTTAATATCTAAACACTATTAAAAATTATCTGTTTGTGTTTTTATACCAAAAGAAAGCAAGCATAATTAGCTTAGAACTCTAGTTAGATATTACTAAGCCAACAGATATACTAGAAATTGAAAAGGTTAACATGCAACTTACCTCTTTAGGTATAGGTACCTCCAATTTAGTTTCTTGGGGAGCTTTGATTGCAATCACAATCTGTTCCTTGAAGGCTTGCAGGCTGTGTATGTCCTGGTAAGTTACATATGCTAATGTATTCCTTTGTTAAGTTAAACAAATTGCAATATGTGGAAAATTTAGGGACTTTAACAATATATGATACCAAGATTTATTTGAAATTCTACATGAAACCACATACTCAAAACCGAAGGTGAATTGAAATTTCATCATGAACAGAATACTTTGGTGTTGGAAATCTGAAATAAAAACAGCGAGTGCTGGCAGAACATAGGTCTAGTAGCATCTTTAGAGAGAAACAGAATTAACATTCCAGCATTTTTAGTTTTTATTTTCAGATTCATTATATTACTAAATGCCAGTTTATCTCAAAACACTGAATTAATAATATCACAGCTTTCTTTAAATGCAATTATACCACTTGCTTGTTCTATTCTTTAGCTAGCTTCTGAAAACATTTTAGATGCACAGGGTAAAAAGCCAAGAAAACACAAACATACACTTTTAAAAACAAAACCATTCAGTAGAATTGTGCTCTCTGAGGCGAGAGGTGTTCCTTATAAACAAATGGCCTCAAAGTCTCAACTCTACTCTTACAACTCAGCTCACATGCTCCACTATCTGAGTGTGGAACATGGCATATACCCTTGTCCTGTTACAACATCAGTCAAAATTCTCCATCACTGTTGGCTTTTTATTAAGAGGCCAGTGTCTTAATGTGAGGAAAAGAAAACATCATGCTGATGCAAGAGAAGACATAGTTCAGTGTCAGATCTCTCTGTACAACCTTCCAATCTTGCTTCATCACCCCTCAAAATCTCTCTCTTCACTCTGCTTTTGCTTGCCTTTTCCAACTGTTCTCCCAATTCCAGTTGTGACTCAAAACATATTTGATATACTTTCCTGCATGAAAAGAAGGATAAGTATATTGCATTGTTGCTTGTGCAATGAATGGAGTATTGTCAGTAAATACTTCCAGATATGGTATAACAGTCTGATGCACACTGAAGCCCTGTCTGCACTGTCCAATAATATGTCTTAGCTTCAACTTTACAAGCATTCCAAAAGCATTATATAATATTTTTAATTTCTTCACACACCAGCATTCACGCAACCTACCATAAAAATGCCACATTACAGAATATTTGCTTTGTAGACCAACCATAACAAGAACTAGATCAAGACCCTGGAGATTTATTTTCCAAACTTTTGTCAGCAGGCAGACACTTTCATCCTAATAAAATGGACTGGATTTTAAACTTGCTGTTGTGGTGAAAGGTTACATGATCTAGCAATGAATTTGACTGGTTTCACATCTCATTCAATAAACATCATTATAAGACTAGCTCTGTTACTACAACTGCATTTTCTTCATTATGCTAACCTCTACATTCTACATCAATGACCTGCAGCACTTGTCACCCAAGTTGACTGGGACAGAACACGAGCTGCTAGCATCCAAGGTAGGAACACATTTATTGATAAAAAACAGTGCTCTAAGGTTTTCTTCCCCGCTAACACAAAAATACTGCATAAAAGAACAGTCACAAAGTATATCCTATTGGTGGTGATATTTCTAGAAACTATGGCTATCTGAAACTTTAGCCCTGAAATATCAAAGCTCAGGATAAGAAAATAGAGACAGAAAGAATCAGGAAAAGCAATTCTCTCTATGGTACACTAACTACAGTTTTCCTTCACCAGTCCCACCTCAAGTCTTTCAATATTCTTGCAATCCAAATCACATGCTTTATTCTCACTCTTTCAGATATTTTCTCTTCACTAGCTACCAGGGAGTCAGTGCTATCAGAACTCAGCGGGGCAGCAGGCAAGAACTTGTTGAATGGTGGAACAAACTGAAGAGGTTGTCACTCCTGTGCCTTATGACTGGTTAAGTAGACATCACATTCTATGCTTCAGTGCATGCTTTAACCTGGCCAATATCCAGGCAAATACAAAGCAGTTACGAGAATGTACTAGATGCTACCACAAAATTCTCTTTTTTCTGAAAAACAGATTATTTCTTAGCAGACTGACACTGTTTTCTTTCGAGGCTCCGTGTACATTATAAAGAAGCCTAATCATACACTTAACTTTGGAAAAAAAATGAAAATGCCATTCATTTCTTCTTTATATATAAATGTTAAAACAGAGGCTCACATCGTATACTCTGAAACAGGCTGCAGTGTTTAATCTAATCTTACTTTTCAACTGGTTGATGTAATGTTAATATACAGAATTGTCCTCTTGGCTTGAAAGTGGAAATTTACCTGAGCCATGAAGTACAGTATAATCCAGTCACTGAATACCTCTACCCAAAGAAACCAATAACCATGTTCCATTTTCAAAAGGTATATAAATGAATGTTTAGTTGTACAGAACTTAGCTATTGCTAAATGAGACTTGAATTTGAAGCTTTTAATCTTCTCATTAGAAGTAGGACACAGGAAACAAAGTTGAAGAAAGACGCCATTTTATACAGAATGAGAAGAGGATGCTAATTGGTTGGGTCATAATCAACAATGAAGATGCAGGAAGAACAGTTAACTGTCAGTCTTAATTCTCCAAACAGGCAGTTAAATTCTTATTGGTCAGGGCATTGCCGCAGGGCACAGCTGTATATAACATGCACAAACATCACACTGCAAGTATGTCTGATCTTGAATTGGTAAGACTGACGGTATACAGTAATGAGGATTTTACCCCTACTTGTCTGATTGCCTGAGGGTTGGTTCAATAGACTGTACTTTTGGTTGAAAGGTAGCTGTGCCTGATGCTTGGCAGCGAGGCAGCTCTGCCAGATGGGAGTTTCTGGGCTACATGCTCCGTACACCACCTAGAGGTAGTGTTCTTATGAAACAGAGCCAGTCAATTAAGACACCTTTCCTCCTTTCTCCTCTCCACGTATCTTCTCCTTTATCCATCTTCTATCTGCCTCCCCCTTTCTCCCTATTTATTTCAGAATCCCCTTCCCCTTCTTTTTCTCTATTTCTGAAGAAGGGTCCAGACCTGAAACGTCAGCTTTCCTGTTCCTCTGATGCTGCTTAGCCTGCTGTGTTCATCCAGTTCTACACCTTGTTGTCTCAACTAAAACACCATGCTGTGTTATAGCAAACACTTCGCACCTGATACTTTCTTTTGAGAAATAACTTGGTATCTGTAGAATGCAAATCCTCAGTGGAATGCTTCCAGCCATAAAGGGTTCCGAAACAAATTATTTCAGATGAAAACTGTGTTTAATCAAATTCATCTTCTTGAGACTTCACAGTTATAAAACTTATTTTTACAAATTGACATTATCTAAACAAAGTAAGGAATTTCTTAGCAGAACTAACTTCTTTAGGAATTAAAAGGATATCTTGCATTTTCTTTGTCTTCTGTTAATGTGTATAACTGATGAGCGCAATCTTTGATTAAATCATCTAGCGAATTTTCTACTTTTGTCAGATCTGCCAGTTCTTTCCTTAATTTTCGAGACTGGGCTTCATATGCCAATTTTTCTTGTGGATTCTTGCCTCTGTAATCAGAAAAATTATAATTTCACACTGGTTTTTACAATAAAGCAGCAGCAGTTGCTACATCTAACACAAATGACTGTCTCTTGGAGAGGAAGGCCAACAAATTGGGCTTGGTTGCAATTATCTCAAAAGTCAATTAGCTTTTAAAACTCAATAGCCAAGCTCAAAACAGGAAAAGTACCAGTGATATCGAAATATGCAAAAGAAAGTTCTTCAGTAGAACAGTTACATGTTTTCCAACAGCTAAAATTAAGCAAGAAATCTATAGTCAATATTAATAGGTGGAAGACTGGAGGTTGGCTAATGTGGTGCCATTATTTAAGAAAGGTGGTAAGGAAAAAAATCCAGGGAACTATAGACCAGCGAGCCTTATGTGAGTAGTGGGTACGCTGTTGGAGGGATTCTGAAGGACAGGATTTACATGCATTTGGAAAGGCAAGGACTGATTAGGGAAAGTCAACATGGTTCTGTGCACGAGAAGTTGCTGCTTGGATTTCTTGGGGCTGGGAACCACACATTGGCCACTTTTGGAGTATTGTGCGCAATTCTGGTCTCCCTCCTATCGGATGTTGTGAAACTAGAAAGAGTTCAGAAAAGATTTATGAGGATGTTGGCAGGGTTGGTGGGTTTGAACTATAGAGAGAGGCTGAACAGGCTGGAGCTATTTTCCCTGGCGTGTCGGAGGCTGAGGGGTGACCTAATAGAGGTTTATAAAATCATGAGGGCCATGGATAGGGTAAATGGGCAAGGTCTTTTCCCCAGGGTGG